GGATAACCTGGAGAGGGTCCAGAGAAGGGCCACTCGTATGGTTAAGGGCCTGCAGACCAAGCCCTATGAGGAGAGACTAGAGAACCTGGACCTTTTCAGCCTCCGCAAGAGAAGGTTGAGAGGCGACCTTGTGGCTGCCTATAAGTTCATCACGGGGGCACAGAAGGGAATTGGTGAGTATTTATTCACCAAGGGGCCCCCGGAGGTTACAAGAAATAATGGCCACAAGCTAGCAGAGAGCAGATTTAGACTAGACATTAGGAAGAACTTCTTCACAGTTCGAGTGGCCAAGGTCTGGAACGGGCTCCCAAGGGAGGTGGTGCTCTCCCCTGCGCTGGGGGTCTTCAAGAGGAGGTTAGATAGGCATCTAGCTGGGGTCATCTAAACCCAGCACTCTTTCCTGCCTATGCAGGGGGTCAGACTCGATCTATTGAGGTCCCTTCTGACCCTATCATCTAACATCTATGAATCAGGGCTGGGACAGAGCCACGAACCACTCTGGTGCCAGTCACAGGGGTGTGCAGGCAGCGGATCACAGCTCTGCTGGGATGGGGGTCGGGGCTGGGATCTGGAGGAGCCCTTGTGATGAGTACTGGTCCTATGGGGAGAGGATCATGGCTGTGCCCTAGGCCCTGGCCCTGTGCTGTCACTGCCACATGATCCCAGGGGCGCATGGCCAAGCAGACAAGGTGGGGCTGCTTAGGGAGTTTTGGTGACCTGTTGTGTGGCGGGGTGGGGAGGGTGAGGGGTGGTGCGGTACTGACCTGGCCAGTGACAGCTCACCAAAACCCCGTGTGGCCCAAATAATTGCCCACCCCTGAGCTACTGAAATCCAGACTGTTCATGGTTTTCCCCCTTCCATGAGCAGGAAAGCTAGTTCATACCCAGTGTGGCCTCAAGGTGGCACTGCTGTGATGCAGCAACTGCAAGCATCAAGGCAAAGTGCTCCTGGATGAGTTTACCCGATCGCAGATTCAGATTAGCTGAGGGACTTAAGACATCCAGGAGGCTTGGTATTCCCAGTCGCCCACTGCACAGTGCAAAGTACATCTCCCTTCGTGGTGCTGTGTGTGGCTGTTTCCTTCAGATATATGGTACAGAGCTTTTGTAGTGCTTATGGAGGGCTGCTTGGCTGGTGCATGGACTGTGTTAATACTTATGTCTCCTCCCAGCTGCGAACCCCACCGTGCACCCTGTGCAGAGTCCTCAAAACAAGTTCTGCATCCTGACCGTGGCTCCTGATACCCTGCCAGCTATTGCGACCACACTTATGGATGTCCTGTTCTATTCACACAGGTAGGAGGCTGCAGGGCTGTTCTTGGGAAGAAAAAGAAAGGCCTTAGCTTCACCTTTTCAGTGAGGTTATTTCCATTGGGGTGAGCATTGCACTAGGAGGCCTCAATGTGGCATAATGGGCCATTCCTATATCTGAGATGCTGACAATGTGATCTGTTAACTCCAGCAGAGGAGATCCTACAAATGGCTCCATACTAGCTGTCCAGGAAAGCCATGGGTTGGCAGCTGTGTTCTACTTCACGATGAGATGGGGGGCAGGGCAATCGTGTATCCCTGCATCTGGGGCTAACCTGTCTTGTGCCCCTTCCACCCCTCCCTCCCACCACTTTGTTTTGCAGCCCTCCAAAGGAAGCTGCCCCAGGCAGCCAAGATTTCGACTCCATCGCATTCTTTGCCTTCTCGTTGATTGAGGGCTACATCTCTATTGTTATGGATGCAGAAACGCAGAAGAAGTAGGTATCCTCTGGGATGCAGGTCAACCATGTACCAGGTCTCTGATACACTCCAAGCTACAAAGTTCTGCCCATATACTTTAATACTTGTGTGGGCATGGGGTTTCTGAGGTGCGTGCTTCTCCTCGGTACCTATCCACTCCCTTTCTTCTTCCAGTGTCTGTCAGTTGGTGGGCCCTTCAGATGGGTAAAGCATTTAGCAAGGGAGGCCACTGACATCAGGAATTACAGACCTGTGACTGGAACAGGCAGGAGGGTGGAGGACCCTGTAGGAGGTAGCATTTCTTGGGTACGTGCACTGGCTGTTCTGGCTGTTGGGAGCTGAGGTCCAAGGTAGGGATAATGTACTTGGTGACCAGGTTTATTTTATTTTATTTATTTTATTTATTTATTTATTTTTGTAGGTTCCCCAGAAACCTGCTGCTGACCAGCTCCACAGGCGAGCTCTGGAGGATGGTGAGAATTGGCGGGCAGCCTCTGGGCTTTGGTAAGGGGAATCTTCACAGCACCCTCCATTCATCTGTCATCTCCCTTAAATGCACCTATGGCCCCTGCCATGTGATACTCGAGAGCCTCCATTTGTAATACAGTGGTCTTTGGTGCATACCTGTGAGAACGGGAATAAGAGCCCTGCTTGCCGTAGTGAAGAGCTGAGCCCAGATGAATGTATGTCTGCAGCATACCTTGGCAGGGCTGTCCCTCAGTATGACCTGTCGATGCATGCCTGTGGCCACTTTCTAAACCCAGAAGTGTGCTGGTGAAGCTGCTTGGCAGCTGCTCAAATACTACAGACACATGGAGGGGTTCTGCAGGCATATCTCTGCCTTTGGAATGTGGTAGCAAGTGTGGGCATGACCAGTTGAGCTGGGATATGGCACAGCCACAGTATAAATAAGCATGAAGTGCCATGCCTAAGGCTGCAGGAGAATTCCATGTCGGAGCAAAGAACCGAGGTCCTTGGGTAGTGTTCCATCCATCCTTCATCTCACCAGTATCCAGATGACAATGATACATGAAGTGAGACCATCTGTCTTGCTGCTTCCTTCTTTCTAGACTTTTACTCCTATTGATGCTCAGTGGCAGAGGGGCAAGCTTAAGTTACCTGAGTGCCAGCTGTCCAGTAAGGCAAGATAAACTGATCTCAGTAGTCACCTTGGGAGTTCTTCAGCACAAGTCTAGCAGCTACATATCTAGAGGCCATGGGGGCGAAGCTGACATGATTGAGCTGTGGCGGGGGGGGCAAGCACTGTTTAGGCTTCTCAAGCACACTGACATCTCACTGTGCCCTCTTCCCCTTCTGCAGATGAGTGTGGGATCGTAGCTCAGATTGCTGAGCCCCTGGCTGATGCAGACATATCGGCCTATTACATCAGCACCTTTAACTTTGACCATGCTTTGGTAAGTCAGCTTATTTCCCAGCAGACTGAAAAGGACCAAGGGAATGAGAATGATGCTAGCAGGCTAACTTCCTGTCCCTTAGTCTGATGGTGAGCTGTTTTGTACTCATTGGAGTCACTTCCTCCAGCCTTGGCAGCTGGTGGGTGTAAGGGAGAGCCCAATTGGGAGGCTGTAGGACCAGACATTCCACAGAAATGAGGCTGTCCTGACCTGCACTGTCTGAACAAGGCTCTCCCCGTTGGCCTTAAACCTAGGCTTTTCATGTCTGCACAGTGCCAGCCTTACTCACTGTGTCTCCTAGCCTAGAGTGACTCCATGCTGGGTGGCACTTCACTCTGGTCCTTCTCCCACCAGTGCAGGGTTCAATTCCCCTTTGTGTGGTGACTGCCCACAGTGGGAGGCACTGGAATGCATCTCATTCAAAGAATGAGTCCCATTGGCCCCCGCTCCCTTGTGCATAAGCTCTGAGCCTGGTCTGCAGTGTGAGAAACTACTCCTGTGGTGATGCAGAGGCCCTGAGGGTGGTGGGAGGGACCTCAAGGGGGGAGGAAGAGGTTTGTCAGCACTTGGCTGTTGTGGTGTTATGAGCTGCCTGTGCCAACTCTGCATGCAGGCCTGAAAGAAGAGGTGAAGTCTGGTCTGGGTGAACCCTGTCTGGCTACCACTTCCTTCCTAAAGTGATGAAGTACCTTCTCCAAGTTGCATGAGGGTAGGAGAAGCATAAGAACTGCTGTCCTTGCCAAGTTTAGAGATGAGAGCTTGGGAAATTAGACCTGGATGCCCTTTAAAATAGGGAAACCTAGAGCATTCCCTATGGAACTGCTGAGGCAGCAACTCAGACATTTGTCCAGTTATCTTTCCAGCTTCATCTTCCAATCCCAATTGGTGGCAGGCAAGATAGCGACCTATAGTTGCAGAGCAGACATGCAGCCTGTATCAAGGATTGGCATTGGTAATAATAGACCTTGCTTTCTCTCTGCCAGGTCCCAGAGGAAGGCATTTGCAGTGTCATTGAAGTGCTCCAGAAACGCCAGGAGAGTGGGAGATAACTGGCATGGTGTCTCCTCTGTCCTCTAACACCCATCTGGAAAGATGAGGGTGTAGCTCACTGCCTGACACAACACTGGGATTGTCAAGCATTCATGGGAACGGAGAGAGAACACTCCACTCCCGTTTCACAGACAGCTGGCCTGGGCCTCTTGTTCATCTTCCAGGCTTCTGGAGAGTGGGTTGAACTGCTGCACATGGGGTCAGAAGGACATGTCTCTTCAGGTGGATGCCAAGAGGAGAGTTTTCTTGTCACTCTGCAAGAGTGTGAGCTCAATTCTTCCCAGAGCATCCCATGAGCTAACTCCAATTGTTTCCTCTTGCAGGTTCAGTATTGCCTAATTCAGCGCCCTTTCTATCTCCACTCTCCCCACATCCTGTCTTGAAACAGGGAGCAGAGTACATGATGCACTATGAACTGGTACTAGAGAGAGATCTTTTGCACACCCCTTGATGAGTTCTCCCAGCTCACAGTTCAGTTGGGCACTCTCTTCTTTTTTTTTTTTTTTTTTTTTTCTTTCTTTAACTACTTTTGTAGCTAACTTCACAGCTGCTTTGAGCTTCCTATATTTAATTTCTCCTGATTTTTCTGATGCCAGGTTCAGGCATCTGCTTTTCCTAGGCTGGGTCTGCTTTTCCTAGACTATATCTAGTGGGCATCTCAAGGTGGATATGGCCAAGGACAAATGTTCTCTTTGAGTAGGAGGCAGTGGCTGATGGCATGAGGAGACATGTTGGCCATTGGGTTGGTGTGGAAAGGGATGCTTGTGGTAGTCTCTCTATGTGGTCAAGGGTGTGGAGAGAAATGAGTTGCTCTGGGTCTTGTAGTGTTAATGACCCTGATGTTGAGAGCCTGGGATAGACATGCTGCCTCCAATACAGAATCCCATGTGCAAATTAAACTAAGGGGCTGAAGGTTCCTAAATTGACCTTTTACTGTAGAAGTGCCTTCCCAGGCAAGGAGGGCCAGAAAGCTTGTTAGGACAGCTTCTTCCCTTTGTGGGCTAAGCTCCTCCATGGCTTTAAAGCCATTCTGGGGCTGGCTAGCTGCAGTTAATGTTGCACTTTTAAAAATTTTTTTCTGTATTCCAAACAGTAAATCCCCCATCTTCAGCACTGGTGGTGAAGTGCCTGATTGACAGGTGTGCTCTGGACTTCCCAATTTGCCCTCAGGTGGGGTGTGTGCCATGAGGAAAGTGCTAAACAATCCCATTTCCAAAGGATCTTGGGTTGATTTGCTGCCTAATTCAGGGAATGGGCATTGCGTGAAGGGAGGATGGTGGAAATGTGCAAAGCTGCTGGTAGTGAATGATGGCAAGAATTCCCTCGATCGGAGCAGTGGTGCTGGGAAAGAAGCACGTGTTCAAGAGGTTTGTGTTGAAATGGCCCATGTTGTCTTTAGTAGTCAGGGTAGTAGCTGTAGCAACACTCATGATCTACATAGAGGTATCCAGGAGCTTAATTGTTTTTATCATGTTGATTTCAAGGGATGGAGTAATCCGGTCACCTTTGCCTGGAGCAAAAAGTCAGTATTTCCCTTCTAAATGGGGGTGCGCTGGGAGCCTGGAATTCCATCCTCTGGAAGCCAAGGTCTGTTACCCCTCCTTGTTTTTTGTGCCTTTTTTTCTACGGCCTTCTTAGGACTGGACCTTCTTGGGTCTCTTGCCTTTAGTGGAATGCCCACAGCTAGGCCGGTATCTTGTTGAATACCAGAAAGGGTGGTAGGTTTCTGGTGTGTCACTGAGGGTCTGTCTCCTGGGTGGTGGCCACCCTGTTCAGCATCAGGCTAGGGAAGCTGCTTCTAGGTGAATGGGTGATGCTCGTCTCTCTAGAGCCTGTATAAACAATGTAAAGGAGTGACACTGCCCCTCAAGTTCATAGGAAAAGACTTCCATGAAACACTCCTGTGCTAATTTCCCTCTTCAGTGTAGCTGTTTTTTACAGGAAATAGATTCATCATTCATCAGTGACTTAAAAAGCTGGAAGAATCTGGTTTTCTTGGATTTCAAACTGCTACTTTTATTTCTGTTTCAAAAGCCTGGCTGAGTGGACAGTACCAACACTGCCAGCTGGGGTAATACTATCCTGATGTCTTACTCCTGCTGTGTTCTGTCATATCAACCCTCTTCCCCTAAGCTAGCATCTAGCCTGGAACCAGGGCTGTTGGAAGCACTCTTTTAACTGGTGTGCTGTTTTGCAGCCATGAAGATTTAGGTGTGGGGCTTTGCTTTTTACTGGGGCTAAACTTAGTTTCTCAGAACATATTTAGCCATGGGATTTTGCCTTCTGGAAAAGGCTTCAAGTCCCTGGGCAGTGGCCTCTGCTCTCTTGGATACAGTGCCTAGAGAAGACCTTTGACTTCCTGTGGAGTTTCTTGCTGATGCAAGAAAGGGTCTGCCAGCAAAACCAGGCATCCTTTAAAACTTCTATTTTTGCATAGTTTTTAAATGAGTCAATAAAACTCCATTTTCAAAAACCTGAAGCTCTTGTGTGTCTGTCTGATGGTGAAATGCAGGAAATAGCCCCTTCAAGGGACCTGGTGTTCAGTTTCACATTACTAAAGGTCAAACATTAGGGAACCTATGGCATTCTCAGGGGGTACAGCACTAAATAAGGATGGAGAAGTGCATTCTCACCTTGAATTGAACAAAAGGAGATGGAGGGAGAATGGTGGAAAGATATGGTCACTCTTGTAAGAGCAGTCATGGAGTTAATTTTGGGGGTGGGAAGGCTTTAAGGCTGAAAAACCCCAAGCAGTCAAGGTCAAGTAGGTATGGACTTGCTAGGTATAACTTTCTATAGAAATCATACTCTAAATTTCCAGGATATCTGAGTAGTGGAGCTTGGGGATGGTCTTCCAAGCCATGTGGTGCACACACAGAACCAGAATTGCCTTAAGAATGATCTGTATAAGCTTATGAAAGGAATGGTCTGATAGGACACAGTTTATCACTCACCAGGCAGTATGTGAGCTGTGGAATTGGGTGCTTGCAGTCCCCAGGTTGGGGTATTAAGATAACTTTCATAATGTGGAAGGTGTTTGGTAATTCCATGCCTTGGGGCTCTTGCTGGCTGCCAGTTGGTGCCAGGAAATATTTTTTTTTTCTCCCCTCCTGAATGCTATTGCCTTCTGTGTTTGGGTGCTTCCCTTTACTCTGAAGCATTGGTCTGAAATACACTGATGGCTCTTACCAGTATTAAGAAAATTCAGAGGTTTCTGGTTGAGCAGGCTGCTGTTTTACTCAGGGTCACATTTGATTGCCAAATATGCAGGAATTATTTTTTTTCTCTTAGATCAGATTGGCACGGCCTGTGGGGGTTCTTTACCTTTCTCTGTAGTTGAGGCATAGTCCTCTTAAGATTTGAGCATCTTCTACCCAGTTACTTTCCTGTTGTTGCAGTAGCAGGGCATTGTCTGTACTCTTTTCTCCACTGCTTTTACCTATGGCAAGTTATGGGGATGTTCTTGGTGTTTCAGGTATTGTGCCTTGTAATTGTGGTTGCATGAGGATTTGAAGCAATGATTCCTCAGATTAACAAATTGCCTGTGAATGCATGTGACTAGGCTTGATGGATGAGAAGCCCCTTCCCACCCCCTTTCAATCCTACATTCCTATCCTAGTGCTGTGATTTCCCAACCATTGAAATTCTTGAACACTGAAAATCTAGTCCCAAAGGTCCAAGTTTTGAAAGTTCTTTTCAGCTAGTAGGATAGGCTTAAACTATGATGCGACTGTCCCTCCTGGCCAGCCAAGCCACGTTCAGACGATCCAAACCCACTGCTGTGCTTGGGGCTTGAGATGTCTGGGGAAACTGGAATCAATCTTGCTGGTTCCTGACCTTTTGGATGTGTCAAGACAAGCGCAGTTGTGTGGTATATGATGCTGCAAACATGTTTGCATCACTGTAGATTTATAGATTGTAAGGAGCTAGAAGGGACCTTGCAGATTGGGTCCAGCCCCCACCGCTCTAGGCAGGAAGACAACTGGGGTTAGGTGACCCCAGTGAGGGACTGTCTAGTCTCCTCTTGAAAACCTCCAGGGTAGGTGACTGCACCATCTCTGGAGGGAGTTTATTCCACAGCCTGGACACCCTGTGAAGGAGTTTTTCCTGGTATTAAGCCTGAAGTGGTCTTCCAGAAATTAGTATCCACTGCTCCTGGTGTTCCCCAGGGGTACCCTAGTTAACAGTTGTTCATTGAGCTCCTGATGCCCTCTCTGAGATAGTGGCTTACTGCTATAAAGTCCCCTCTCAACCTTCTCTTCTTTAGGCTAAAGAGGCCCAGGTCCCTCAGCCTTTCCTCATATGGCTTGCCTTGCATGTCCCTGATCATACAGGTGGCTCTTTTTTGGACCCTCAAGTTTTTTCCACATCCTTATTGAAGTGCAGTGCCCAGAACTGGATGCAGTACTCCAACTGCAGTCTCACCAGTGCTGAGTACAGTGGGAGTATCACTTCCTTAGTTTTACATGAGATGTATCAGTTTCTGCATGCCAGTGTGGTGTTTGCCCTGCACTTGCACTGACGTCTGATTCATGCAATGGTCAATCATTACCCCTAGGCCCCTTTCGGCCGTGGTGCAAGTCAAGCTATTGCCACTGAGCCTGTATGTATGCTGAGGGTTGTTTGCCGCCAGATGGCGTGCCTTACCCTTGGAAGTGTTAAACTTCATCTGGGTCCGGTCTGCCCAACTCTCGAGCCTGTCTAGGACCACCTGTATCTGCAGCCTGTTTTCTGGCATGACCACACTGCTCCATAACTTGGTGTGGTCTGCAAACTTGGCCAGTGAGCTTTTCACTCCCTCATCCAAATCATTGATTAAAGATGTTGAAAAGCACTGGTCCAAGCATGGACCACTGAGGGACACCACTGGCCTCTTCATGCCCGGACAGCACAGATCCGTTCATGAGAACTCTCTGGGTCCTACCCTGTAGCCAGCTTTCCACCCACTGAACCATCAAGCAGGTGATCCCACAATCTTCCAGTTTTCCCCACAAGGATATTGTGGAATACTAGATCAAAAGCTTTTTGGAAGTTTAGGTATATAACATCTACTACATCTCCCATGTCCAGGTGGCAAGAGACCTGGTCATAGAAGGAGATGAGATTGTCATGGGTAGGTCTTGTCTTACCAAAGCCATGCTGGCTGTCGTTCAGAATCTTACCTTCTGCGAGCGTATCCCACAGATTCTTTAATGAGCTTTTCCAGGATTTTTCCTGGGATGGAGGTTAGGCTAATTGGCCTATAGTTGCCTGGGTCTTCCCTCTTCCCCTTCTTGAAGATGGGCACAATGTCGGCCCTCTTCCAATCCTCGGGGATTTTCCCCGTGCACCACGAATTCTGAAAGAGCTTTGCCAGGGGTTCTGTGATGACCTCAGCCGGCTCCTTCAGCACTCTCGGATCGAGTCCGTTTGGTCCTGCTGACTTATACATGTCTAGGTTTTCTAATTGGTATTACACCCACTCAGCATCCACAGTGGGGAGGCTGTCAGTCCTGGCATGTCCCCTATGAGCGTTTCCCCATGGTCTGGTGAAATACCAAAGCAAAGTGGGTATTCAGGAGTTCAGTTTTTTTTCCTGAATGTTGGTTACCAGTTGTCTTGAGGTGTTAAGCAGGGTCCCATACTTATGTTTTCCTTTGATTGCCTACATACCTAAAGAAGGACTTCTTATTGTCCTTGACTCCCATAGCTAACCTAAACTCAGTTGCTGCCTTGGCTTTCCTGATCATTTCCCTACGTGTACTGGCCACTGTTTTATAGTCATCCTTGAGGACCGTCCCTAGTTTCCACTGTGCATACACTTCCTTTTTTATTTTTTAAGAGGACTGCAATGTCCCTATTAAGCTAGGAGGGCTTGCCAGCCCTTCTGCTTTCCTCTTTCCTGGAACAGATTTTTTTTTTTTTTTGTGCTTTGAGGATCATATCCTTGAGCAATGGCCACTCTTTGTGCACCCCATTCACCTTCCCTTCCTGGTCTCACATTGCCTCCCCTACTAATGCTCTGAGCCTGTCAAAGTCAGCATTTTTGAGGTCCAGGACTTCAATCCTGCTAATTGATTTGTCGACCTTGCAGTGGACAGTGAACCTGATAATTTCGTGGTCGCTGTTGTCCAGGTTACCCTCAGTGTTCATGCCATACACCAGATCATCTCCCTTGGCCAAGACCAAGTCTAGAAGAGCATTACCTCTGGTTGGCCCTTGCACTTCCTGGGTCAGGAAGAGCTCCTTGATTTTTACAGTCGGGGAAACTGCGTGAACAATTTGACCTAGCTGAGTGTTCCTCCCAAGCTATGTCCGGGTAATTGAAGTCACCCATGCCAACCAAGTCCTTTGCACACGTGGCCTCTGTCAGTTCTCGAGAGAACTCCAGATCCAGCTTCTCCCCTTGGTTTGGTGACCTGTAGTAAACACCTACAATTAGGTTTCTCTCACCTAACCTCCTCCCGTAGCTTGACCCAGAGGGTTTCAAGCTGCTTATCTTTGGAGCCAATGTCAGCCTCCAGAGAGGTGTACTGTTCTCTCGCATAGAGAGCTACCCCTCCTTCTTTTCTCCCTGCTCTGTCCCTTCTGTGCAGGGTGTAGCCCCCTACAGCTGCACTCTAGTTATGCGAGGAGTCCCACCAGGTCTCCGTGATCCCTACCAAGTCATATTGCCTACTAGAGAGCAGGAGGGCTAGCTCCTCCTGCTTGTTCCCCATGTTCCTGGCATTGATGTACAAGCAGCTGAGGCCCCCAGCTGACCCTCGATTTCCTGAGACCCTCTGGGAGAACTGTTTGGTTAGCATTTTCAAAAATTTGTGTTAGTGTCCTCCACAAGGGAGCTTTCCTGTGTGCCAGTCCCTGGGTATGCTGCACTTCGGAGTTTTCCCATCACCTTGCAAAGTCAGTTTAAAGCCCTGTCCAATAGATCAGCCAGCCTGGCTGAGACCAGGGTCTTACCTCGCCATGTGAGGTGAGTACCATCTCATCCTAGGACTCCTTTCTCTCTGAAGTGCATGCTGTGGTGGAAGAAACAACCCCTCGCGGTGTCTGAGGCATCTGTTAACCTCTTCCATGCAGCCATCCCTCCTGGGTCTGTGGCCTGCAACAGGGAGCACGGAAGAGAAAACTACTTGAGCCTCTAATTCCTTGAGCCCAGAGCCCTGTAGTCACTCATGACCCAGTCAGGGTTACCCCTGGCCATGTCAATCGTGCCCACGTGGATGAGCATGGGGTAATAGTCGGAGGGACAGACGAGCCTGGGGATCCTCTCTGCAATGTCTCAGTTGCGGGCCCCACAGAGACAGCGGACCTCTCGGGCTAAGGGGTCCGGACAGCAGATAGGTCTCTCTGTGTCCCTCAGGAGAGTGTCGTGTTGTTGTCCCCCACCCCAGCATCTCCTAGGGGTGGGAATACTTACCTCCTCCGATGTCTCTTTCGGCATCTCGTGCGTAGTGAGGGGAGCGTACCTGTTGTGCAGTGCCGGGGAGGAGT